TCACTCATGGCTTTTTTACCTTTCCGAGAGCTTTTAAACACGTACGTATGGGTTGTTGTTGCACGTGCCGTGTGACTCATCTTGGAGGGCTTTTAGGACGTTTGTACAGCTCGTTTCTCATGTGTGAACAGCCTTGTTTGTTTTGTAAAAATTAACAAGCACGGAAGAAAACGTTTTGGCAGATGGGTCCATTGACAATTTAGTATGTTATTCTGGGAATTTGGAGGACAGAAAGGTCCCACAATGAAATACTGGCTTGTTCTTGATCTGGACCTCTGTGAGATGGTGCAGTCACAGAGCGCTACATCGTGGAGAAGAACCACACTGCAAGTCATTTCACATTACAGGCATCCAAGTCAGAGCACAGGTCTGTCACTAGAGGGCGGGCTTGCTTTAAAGTTAAATACTGATTTTGTAATTGCTTGAGGAAATTTGTATGCGAGGATGTGGAAAAAAAGATGTGGTTCTAGCTGTGTGAGTCATTGAGTGTCAAAGGAGCTACAGGTAAAGCTTCTCATTATAGCAGCGATTACATTTAAAAAAATGGTGCATAAATATATGTAGACCAGGACTGGCCAATCCTGACAAAGATGAATGGACTGAACACATCAACACCATCTTTCCATTTTCTAACCTCTTCCTCCAGTTCAGGGTCACAGGGGAGCCCGAGCCTATCCCAGCAAGCAACGGGCACAAGGCGGGGTTCACTCTGGATGGGATGCCAGACTATCACGGGGCACCCACAGACACAGACCTGCACGCACTCACACCAGGGCCAATTCTCCCAGAAGCCCATTAACCCACCAGTGTGTCTTTAAACTGAGGGAGGAGATCAGAACATCCAGAGGAAACCCACACGAACACAGGGAGAACATGCAAACTCCACACAGATAACAACCCAGGAATGCAGCAAGGCTAGCCACTGTGCCTCCTAGCTGCCCAGATCAAAACCAGCCCTGCATCTCCTCACGGTGTCTCAGCAATAATGAAAGAAATCACGTGTGTTCCCAGTAAGACACTGTTTTATTTTTGAAAGCTCATTCTCACAGCAGTCCAGGCCTCTAGCCCCAAATACTGAATATTATTTATAATCCTATCCCACCAAGGGAATGGACCCACTACAGCCTGAAGTTCTGTTTTCCGAAAACCTGCTGCCTCACGAAGAGCCTTAGGTGGCTACAAGAATGCCACACAGAATCACAAGGCCCTGCTGTGATCTGGCTCCGGCTGGGAGACAAGCTGAATGGGCTGTTGAGTACCCAGCGCTGCGGTCTGAGACCGCAGGAGAGGAGGAAACTGGAGCAGGAGGGGCACTCTTGTTTGTGAGCAGGGCAGGAAAACCCTCAGCGACAATTAGACCATTTTTTCCAGGCTTGTACTGAATGAGCTCATCTGGCACAGAAGCTACAGGCTGCCAGTCTGCCCCAGGCCCTTCCCTCTAATCCTGCTCGCTGGCTCAAGGTTTGCTTTCTTACTGGCATTATGTGTCTTTAATATTTCAAACCTGGCCCCCCAAACCCAACAGCAGTCTTTTGAATATTTAACCCTCGATTTCTTGATATTGAAAACCAAAGAAACACAGGGACTCTTTTCGAGACGCACTTTGAAAGTAACACTTTATGACCCTGAAGAGTTAAAATCTTGGTTTTACATCTCACCCCAGAGGATAGCACCTTTTTTGACAGTATAGTATCCCCGTCACAATACTGGGGCATGAGGACCCATGCAGACCACAGGGTGAGCGCCCCCTACTAGCCCCACAAACACCTCTCCCAGCAACAACCTTAGTCTTTCCCAGGAGGTCTCCCATCCAGGTACTGACCAGTTCAATGAGTGCTGTGAGTTGCAGGGTGATATAGCTGCTGGCACAGATCAGCCATTGAGAGGCACAACAGCTGTTATCATCATCCAAGAGGGATGCTGGCTTCATCAATAAAGCCAACAATACACACATTTTGACAGCGATTGCTTTTCTACATGGGATTATGAAAAATAATGATATACCCACTATCGTAATCAGTCTGATGTTTTAATTGTCCTGCCTGTTTACAGCGACTTGAATGGAAACAGTGGTGTTATTCTGATATTAGTATTGGCTTTTCTCCTGGACCTCGTTGTGTAAATCTGGCACTGTGAAAAGCGTGCAGAACAGACATTCTTTGCCTTATTTGAAAAGAGAATTCCTGCCCTTATTTACTGTTTTTATTTCTGTCTATTACATTGTGGCGCCCGAGAACCCAGTAAGTTCTGTGTAAAACACAGCTGGGGTAGAGTGATAAAACTAAGAGCCATTGGATTATTAGAAACAAGTATTCACAACATCACCATGTACAGAAACTGCACAAAGCACTGTTATACAAAAAACTAACTCTGCATTTTAGGTTTAAAGGAATTGGCCTGAGTGCAGTTGCAGGTGTAATTACTGAAATTCAATGTCAAACAGTACTTATCAGCCACTGATGACCCTTTGAGCCCTCACTCAGACTAGATAAGAGGTAGAGGAGATGCTTCAGTTCCAGACACATGGTGCTAGTACTGTTTGGAATCTTTAGTCCCAGAGCTGTAAACTAGGGCAGTAAAGATCTAAAGTTACAATGCTTCTGGGTTTCCCCAAATTCTCCACTAATTAAATGATCAATTAGTGGAACCCAAGTCCTGTCTTGTCCAGATCATTGTCAGGTGATGGACTAAAGGGACATGTATTTTGAAAGCCCCAGTGGCCTAGATGCTGGCCCAGGCTCTTACATTCTGGGCTGTAAACACTGCTTTGTTGGAGGCAGTTATTGAACTTCACGTCTCCTGTTTTGTTAAAGAATTACTTACCCTCTGTTGTTTATGTTTTTCAATACATTTGGATGTCTTCCAAAGCAAACGGTTTCAGGACTCCCGACTCATTACCACAAAGGAAAGTATTCGGCAGGCCGCTGCACTGACCAGGACAGGAATTCCTGTTTTGTTTAGTTTCGGCCTGATGTATTTTGCTGTGGTGGTGATGTGAGTTGGGGTGACCTGTGGGGGCCCAGCCCTTTGAGGAAAGCCCATGGAGCAGACAGAATGAGCTCATCGTTGTCAAGGCCTCAGGTACCTGCAGGAAACACACCCTTCCGCAGGTTTGAGCTGTCTGGATATCACTCACTCTGGCAGCATTCCGCCAAAAAAACAATTCATGATTAATTTAATGCTGAAAACAGGAATCGCCAATATTTCCTACCTTTTCTCACAATATGAAATGAGCCAGAAACCAAAACCAAAATAAAGAAAAGTCTATACTAATCACTATAGGTCTGTAGTAATAGGTGAGAATGACTGTATCAGACACTCACAATAAGTGTTATCTCCTTCTATTGAGGTCCAATTAGTTACATTTCAGGCTACACACCTGAATAAAGGCAATTCTCAACTCAGTAGACAGTTGATATCAATTACAAACCCCATCTAACTTTTGAAGAGAGGAGAGCAAATTTAGAAGTATGCCCCAGCCTGAAAACTGACATCACTGAAGACCCCAGCAGAAGCCAAAAAATTAGTAGCGGTCAAAGACATTTAAAGAAAGTGGATTTTGGTGCACAA